GGTGGGGTCCACGCGGAGGTGCTGGAGGTGCTGAGGCCGTGGATGGAGCTGGGGTACGTGACGCTGCAGGACATTAGGGAGCAGGAGAGATTCGATGGGTACTACCACAACCAGTTCATGGTGGTCAATGTGGTCCCTAGAATCATTTTGAAAATTTGGATTCTAGGGGATCAATTCCGACAAGGAAAATGTCATGTCCTTATAAATGGAAAAATTTTGGGACCTGGGTTGGTTTGCTGGATCATGGTGCAGGGGCGGATCAGATCCAATTACCCAATTTCTGGTCAAACTTTCAACACGCTGGATGACATGGAGTAAAGGAACACGTGGCATCACCTGATTCGCTGTCCGTACAGAAGGCACCAAAACCCTCTACTCACAAAGGGCACGCAAGGAATCGCCTACCTTTATTTCTTTTAAATTTTTAACCACGTTTCAATTTTGAAAATTTTAATTATGTACACATGTCTGTCAACATTTTTATAGTAATAATGATTTAATCCATTGAATAGACTCATGTTAATTAGTCGTTTATATTACAAGAAGATAAAAACAACACATTTCAATATCACGGGTGGTGATGATGGACAAGCCAATCAATTTTAAAAAGAAATTACAAGATAGTGATATTGATGTATCATGTCAACTGAACACTACTTCTTACTATACTATATAACAATAGAAAGATTGTTATATATTCACACACAAAAAAAATAAAATAGAAAGATTGTCATCTCTTTTGTGTATGTATTGAGATGGAGAGGGTGACGTATTGTGTGCGTGTGCGTTCTTTTAAAGCTGATGAGGCAATACATATGCCACATGAACGTCATCATTTATACGAACTAATGAAAATATTATATTGCTCGACATAATAAATCTTTAATACCTTATGGAATTTCTTTTAATTGTCATATTATTTATCATTCAATAGATGTCCAATAAATTTCAATACAAAATTTATCAATTGCTAATAATCGTAATAGAAAATTACTTTATTGAACTATATAAAAGCATTATTCAAATACGGCTATATAAGTAATTTTGCAGAAGTTTTATTTATTTAACAAAACTCATTAAAAAAAATCATTCAAAAGACCATTCAGTCAATTTTTGCCTGAATTAATGTATAATTTGGATTTAAATTTAGAAGTTTTATGTGAGTAGATTACCTGTAAGTACTTTAGAAGTGTTCATTGCATTTAAAGGGTTGTCCTAACTTGACCCAATTGAATAAAAGTATCTCTGCAATCTTGAATGTTTTGTTAAAAATATATATATTTGCAATCTTTCATCTTTTGTTAAAATAAATCAGATATGACATTTGAAGCTCTTTATATTTTTATATATCAAATAACCGACACAAATTTCTAAATTATTCTACATTATTTGTCATTTTGAAAGAG